GAAGAGGCTACCAACCATAAAGTCGAACTGAACGAAAGATGGCGCGCTATACACAAGCTTTCAGATTCAGAGAAACGTTACATCTACACTAAAGTTGTTTCAATTCTACGTACGCTGTTCGAGCCTTGGAAATACGTGTGGCTATCTCCTTTACTGCACTATCGTCATTGGTCAAGTAAGGACCTAAGTAGGAAAAGCAATCCATTATTACTAATTCAAAGCGGGGCTAGGTGACACCCGAATTGGGTAACAGTAGTTGTTAGTCTGTGAAATGCGCTTTGCGCTTCTTTTAAACATTGGAACACATAGAAGACGACATTGGTATACTCCAAGTCCAACAGTTATTCTCCAATTGTTCATTCACTGTTCACATTTTGGAGACCAATCAGTGCATTTTCCAAGATTTCTTCCATGACGAAAGTGAACAGGAATGGTGAAAAGGGAGCAGTTGTGACGAACATCGCCGCTACTGGTTTCGAGCGATCTTATCGCCTCTTCGTGGGCTCTTATGCTATCAAAAGTATACCAATAGAGCTGTCTCGACAGATTTACATACTTCTTTTCGAAGAAGTAAACCCATTAGAGCTTCGTGGTCAACTGAAGGCTCCCTTTAAGTGTTGACGAACAGGGCGATCGTTGGTCGACGTGAGATGGGACGCAGCTCGAGGACCTGACGCAATGTGAACATTTGGTCGATGCACAAGCACCCATCTCCTGACTAGAATTCAGCTTGTTTTTTTGCAGATATTGGTTTCCTAACGAATTCAGGTCACCCACAATTAGGGTGGGGACCAATGTTTTTAACTGTTGAACATTTTAATTACTTTCCTTTCCTTCGTATATCCCTGCATACAACTCGTCGTATAGATTGTGTTGTACTGGCAAGATTAACATACACTGAAAAAGAGCTTGATTGCCAACTCTGAGTTCAGATCACACTGGTCTCTCTCTTGAAAAACTCAGACGTCCAAGTGCGTCTGAAGCCAACATTTTCGTCATACAACAAAGATCGTTAGTATCCTATTAATATTGATCTTTACCGCTGTCGTTAGAACCCCTCAACCTGATAGGGAATTCAGTTCACCCGGGCTACGGGAACCAATTTTCGAGATTTTGTTAAGATTTAACTACGTTCACTGTGCAGCAGTTTTCATAAACCTTCGTCCATGATTGTGAACAACTAAACCGTTACCGGACCCAGTATCCCATCGAGCCTTTTGTTTCGTTGTCCCCATATCCGATACCTAGGATGCATGAATCATACTTGATTGATAGTGATAGTAACGACGGGTTTCAACTCTCGTATTGAAAACCCAGCGATTGCATGTAATCAGATGAAGCGACAGACTGTCTTAAACCTTCTAAGCCTATGTGGATTAAATATTCAGTAAATGAAACACTGCAGCTGTGATGTGAATTTCAACTTACGTTCCATTGATGAGTGCGGGAACACAAACGTTAATGACGGATTCCACGCGATCCTCAGTCACTCCTTTCTCTTCAATGTGCTCATCCCCTTTGCCTAATAGGTCATCTGTAGGACGGGCTTTTGCTGCAGAGGTATCTTGTCCGTCATCCTGTTTGTACACTGGTTTATCTCCGTATGCTCCGTACTCCGAAGCAGAACTTGCATCATCATCCTCCTCGATGTCACGCGTGCGTGGGGCCCCCGTTCGGTCCTCATCTTCTTCCAAAGTGCCGGGCATAGGATGCCCTTTGGTTGATTTCGAGTCTTTTCCGTAATTCATTGCTATATTCGCTTGATCCACGCTCATCGCTCTGCTCAAAGCTGCTGCTGTGGGCGGTGGAGGTCGGGGTGGACGGGGACCGGCGTTTGTGCTTTGACGACGAAGAGGCGCTTTTTCCTGTGAATCACGACGTTCCGTTGCACTGGATTCTCCCGCGTGATCAGTCACATGACCCATACTATCAAACGGATTTGTATGCGATGCAGTGCCCGAATCCGTTTTGCTTGGGGACGAAAACGTCTTCTCTTCCCCGATGTGACCGGATTCATCTTTGGATCCGGTACCGGTACCCCAGACCACATTTTCAAACTTGTTCACAGACACGTGTTTTAACGAATCCAATTTACCGCCCAAATCCAATTTTTGATTCAAATCGGAAACCAAATTTCCAGTTTTCACATTCACCGATTCGATCAATTTGCCTGGGGCTGCAAAAATTGAATTGATCGAGCTGGTCCCCTCGGTGGCCGCGTCATGGGGACCCGTATGGGATTTTTCCGTATCGAACGATAAGCGGCGAAGAAAGTTTCCAAAACTCATTCCTCACACACTGATTGAGATATTTTGACGCTGAATATTCCGTCTGAGTCACAAACAAATGTGTATCTATAGTCGGGGCTTAATTTTCTCAGTAATGTTTTTGCGATTCATGACATTAACAGACAGAAATTTTAAAAAAATCATTCGTTTCGGTCAGTGCCGCGATAATCATGGAGTTATTCTAGTGGTAAACGATTAACCGTTGCGTGTGCGGAGTGTGAGACGCACAGTGTATATAGACAGCCCGATTGATAGATAGACACACACACACGCACACGCGCGAGCGCGGTCCAGGAGGCATGTGGGGATCGGAGCAGGTCAGACACACACAAACGCAGACAGGTGATGGAATAGCTGGAGTAGTAGCTTATCCAGTTGGCCAATAAGAACAGTCTATGCCAGCGTCCTGACAGGAAATTCGAATGAGCTGATCAATGGAGACGCCGTATTCCGGTTGCGTTGCGTTGCGTGAGAAGTGATGGTAGGGCGGACAGGGTGGTAAAACGCATATCGATCGGAGACAGTTGTTCTGGTTCACTGACCGTTCACTCTTTCTCATTTCGCCGCGCACCAATGTCCCCATCCCTCCCACTCTCAATCTGAGCACGTTCGTGGTTTTCATCCTCATAAGTTTTGTTCTCCTGCTCCAGGGTCCGATGCTCCATTCAAAGGGGAACTATTGGAAAACACTGGGAAAATGCCGTCAAGCAGACAAAGAGAAAAAAACCAAACCGAACAAATTTTTCCCCCGGGAACATTCGGCAACTGAGTAATTAAATCGAATGACGGAAGATAACATGACTGTTGAAAACGGTAGATTAAAATATTTTTTAACATATTTCAATCACTGAGTAACAAAATATCAAAAATATCGTTCACCAGGAGCCTGAGGATTATTACTGATATCCAGGCCTAAGTGGTCTAAAGCTTGGTTTTCTGAAACTCCATGAGAAAATTGGAGAGGCCTGATTTCTTCTCTTCATCGTGACACAACCGTAGTGGGTTCGTGGAGTTGACCGAAAAAAGCATCAGTTTTGTATATTTTATTCATACCATTCCTTTGGTTAAACTGGCTTTATTTATAAGCAATCAGTTTTCACATGAGAGAAATGGAGGATTTGATTCAAGTTCAATGGGGAAATTCGTCGTGTATATGAAGCGTAGAGTGAAAATCTAGGAAGCACTGGACTGCTGTTTTGACCTGATTGGGTCTCATCAGCAGTGCGAGTCCGTCGACCCAAATGGTGATCGAATCCGTGACATCGTAGGCAGAATGCAAGCACGCTACCCACTCGGCCACCAGGCAGCTGATCAGGCCGTTCTTCATTTTCCATTTACACGATATAGCACAGACCATCTTTTCGAGCTTGTTGCGGACATCGCGCCTATCTCGTTTCAGTACTAGCCTCCCGGGGTTATGACTCGGTTGGACACAACCACAATCAGACTACTTAATGCATGAGAGTAATGAAAGATTTGATTCAATTTCAAAGGGAGAAATTTGTAGTCGATTTAGGAAATGATGTATGAACTGAAAAGCTAGGAAGCACCGGGTTCGAGCCCCAGTTACGTCGATGGATTTGCACTGTTGATGAGACCCAACCAGATCGAAACATTTGCCCAGTGCTTCCTAGCTTTCCAGTTCACGCTTTACTTACTCTATATACGACGAATTTCTCCCTTTGAAATGCAATCATTTTTGATAGTCGACGTCTGTTTTCGTAGTGTGTAACTCAAACATATATTTGCGATTTAAATATCTTGAAGAGCCCGATTCTGACGGAAACTGTTTCAAAAGCATCCCTACAATTTGACGGATGCCTGCAAATTTGGCTGCCGGAGTCTTTACTCATTCCTGAGACAAGTCGTTCCGCTGATGACAGACGGATTTGGCGAATCTGGTAGGAAGATTTCCTAGCCATTGTCGGAGTGATCCTTGAACTGGAGGGTATACAGTCGACT